CGTATTGATAGATAGGTAAATATTCAATAGTATTATTCAAAATCATCATTGCCAAATGAAAAAATCAGAAATATGGACAAAATAGAAAAATTTGCAAAGTAGTGATCCAACATTGAGAGAGTGAGGTTGTGTATATGATCGTTTCTCACTTCTTGTTAACCATGATGAATATTCTTTCATATCTAATCCATGTTGTCTAAAAATATCTTGTTTTAATTTACGAGAATTTGATGTTATTCATAGTTTTTTTTAGATTGTTGCTAATGTAATTTGTTTTCTCTTACTCAATCTCATCTGTGTATTTATGCTTGAATCTTCAAATTCATCATCGACAATTTTAGTTAAATTTAATGTGAAATGTAACAAATAATGCATAATAAGTATCTTCTTACACTTAAGATTCAGCTCATGTTTAGAAAATTCTTCATTGAAATGACTTGTTCATGAAAAACACAGTATTCAACTTTATCTCGAAAAGACTTCAGATTGAAGCGGGTATATATTGCACTATTAGTTAGTAAGTTCATAACGCTTCATTATCCAACGATTAGAGAAGAACAAAGATGGCATTATATTTGCTATAATAACAATTATAATGAAAATCTTAATCAAACTCTTCTAGAACTAAAATTTAGGAAAAAAATCACATTTCGAAAGATCTAGCACTACTGTTTTCATCTGCAAATTGACATGCATATTTTCGTTGATAGTGCAAAATATTATTTTGTCTACAATAATATATAAAGCATATTATCAAAGCCATAAGACATGTTCTTGATGACTGTAATTACCGCTAGTGATTTGATGTACTATATTGATAGGGATCGATATTTTTCTTGACGTCATCATATAAACAATGATTTAACCAATTCAGAAAATTTTTTATTGACAGACAACAACGTAGAATGCTTCTAGTAATTGATCTTTTGTTATTTTTGTTTTCAAGAAAAAGAAAAGAAAGTGTGAGAAGTGAACAAACAGAAAGAATGTCGGAAACTTCCAGTTAGGGATGCAATGGTGAGCTGGTGACACTCCTGGTTAAGAGTGACTTGCAGTGGAAAAATAACGTTCTTTTTGCAAACTTTGATGAAAGATTCTTTGAAGTCGAGCGATTTGAATTTATGAGAGATTTCTTGAAATCTTCTCGGTTGTTTTTTTGGCAAATTCGCTATAGATTTGAATCTTACGACCTCGAACACTGTTGATCAATCTATTTGTAAAAGTAGTATTTTCACAAGACGGAATTTTATTGATCGAAAAGACCACATTTGCAAAGTTTTCTTTCTTGTTGCCGTGGGAATCGATAACATATCTCTTAACGGTACCTTGGTTACTTGATTGTCCAATGATGATAAATTCCTTCCACTATCCTCTAATACATCGCCTCTTGATGCTACTAATCTAGCTGCTTAACTAATCATATTTCACCAGTTTTATCTATGCAACTAAATAACTTTTTCATTGTTTTTTTTAAGTGGATCAGTTCGTCTGCATAAAATCCTTTAGACAAGTATCAACGACTTTAATTTGCTTTCTCACAAAGTATCATCTCTCAATCCATCAGTGTAGCAGCACATTGATACTGTAGGCCTGCGAAGTTAGGTGCTAACAAAGTTAGGCATACAATAGTGAGACTAACGATGAAACTGGAGAGAACATAAAAAACCTACGGTAATGACAGATGTATTAGCACCGCTGACTTCTCTTAGCAGAAAGACATGTGAATAATGGAAGAAACCCGTAGGTTTCTCACATGTTCGCCGGTAAAACTGATCTGAACAGTGAGGCTTGATAGTGCATCTCCGCGTAGTTCTAACAGACTTTTTCCATTTTCCAATACATTTAAGCTAGCTGTATGAAAAGACTGGCCTTCGGTGTATTCTGCATGCGCTGATTACCTTATTCGTCAAACTCACCGTTGCGTGTCCAACAATTTCGCTAGTTTTAGAAAGTCGCTGATGAACCCTAGCAGCTAGAGATGTACTAACTCCATCTTCGATTCTTGACTAGGAATCGGTCGGATCGAAATTTGCATTAGTCAGAATTGGAATTGATTAGAGGCGAAAAGTTATCGTTACATAGACAATTATGTTACCAGTTACTAGATAATGGGAAACTCCTGCACTTGATTCTTTTCTCAAGGCAAAACTATTATACGAAAATAACAATTTTTTGTAAAGTATAACCAAAGGTATTTGAGATCAAGGAATCCAAATCTCTAATCAGTGTTTTTCAGAACTCTGTACTTCATTTCTCGACCAAGTTACCTATATCCTGAAAATTCTTGATCAACTTTTATTTAAAAAAAAACGTTATTTTCGTATAATAGGCATGTCTTGACGAAAAAATCAAACGCAGGAATTGTCCGTTATCCAATAACTATTTGTGTAACGGTAACTTCGCACCGTTAACTGATTTCAATTCCAATTAGATCAAAATTGGAATTTGTGTATCCCTACTACCAGGCGTGAAAACAAATTGTTTATTAGATTTTATTTCAAAAAATAAATGAATACTTCTAATCAAGATGTTACATAGAGGAATTAGAACGTATAGCGAAAGAAATATGCCGTTTACCAGAGCAACATTTTATCAATATAAATGTAAGCTAATGTTAACAAATACACTTTATTTATTAAATTTGAGTTTCGTATTGTTTATTTCACTAGGACGAACAGAAATCAAAATCACATTCTTTGTTTTATAAATTAACATTTCAAAGACGATGGACACTTTAATGATCTAGTTGTGCCTCCGTCATTGCCGTAAAAAGCTACTGAAAATACAAGTCGCCACCGCTGTAACATTAAAATAGATACTAAATTTTTGAAAATTTTTGATACTCAAGGCCAATCGACATATTGGCAGGATACAATAAGCTTTACACCATGATTCTACTTGACTTACTACTCACCAGTTATATACGTATTTTTTCTAGTATTTCGAAAGAAAATAATATGTCCTAGCACTTTTGCTGTGGATATTTTTATCTCATTTGATAGATCTCACCGAGATCTATGTGTTGATAAACAGTCAACAGTAGAAATGTATTTTCCAGACAATGATAACTCCTATAGTATGATGTCAACATGTATACTACTATGGATTTTATACATAGATATGTATTACTATCGTTAATAGGCTTTTACAAGACTCGTTACAATATTTGATGGATATTCTAATCGACTCAGTTTTTTATACTGAACATGAAGTTGATATAGAATTTCGATTTTGATATCTACTAGTCAAGTGAAAATCAGAACAAAAACTTTTTAAAAAAATGTATAAAAATAATATGTTCTTTGGTTAAAAAAAGTGTGTAGTAGTCACATTTGTTTTGAAAACTTTCTGAGTCACACTGTGTTTTTTCTATGTGATTTATCCATCAAAAGATACAATTTTTGATGGGCTTTCAAAATCTGTTGTGATTTTTCTTGAACACATGGATAATAGTACTCTTTTAGTTTAAATACCTAAAAAAAAATTGTTGGAAAATTCATAGTAAACTTTGTATTTCGACTTTTATTTCCAATAAAAGAGGCGATCGGAAAAGATCTTAAATAGAATTCTGCACTATCGAATGGTATATAGCACTTAAAGATTTGATCAAATTTTGATGAAGATATAGTATGGAAAAGAAAACTCAGAAACAATTGTGAATTTTGATAGGTTAGATGAGAACGATTCATTTGTATCCCTTATTTCCTCACAATCCTATTTATATTTGATCTTAATATTTTGACTTTTTATATACACTCTATGACCTTTCAAACTAAATATCATATAGCAAAATCTAAAATATATCTCCGCGCGATCCCTGGGCATTCAAGTGATTCCCTGGTAGAGTCTTTCTGAAACGACAAGTGAAATAAATCATGTCAGTCATGTGAAAGTAATGATTGTTGACTGTAGACCAAAGATTCATGAATCGGATTGTATTAGTTGATAATTACTTATTCATATATTTTCCTTTGTAATTCACCTAAATTTCAATAAGAAAAATTTTGACTACAACCAATCGATTGTTGAGTTCAATCGGTTCAGATTATTTAATGACTTGACTACAATATATTAATATTAATCATTAAGATCACACCAATTGTGAGAAATTTAGCAAAGCTTGAAATTAACTACATCTTTTTTTTTTTCATTATACTACAAATTCTATTAGTCATTGACTTGATTAGTATTATATTGGATGATGATGATGATGACTAGATTTTCTTTTTATTCAACAATATTTTACAAAATATAATAAAATTCGATGATCCGTTTTGTTTTCTTTTTCAGTTAGTTTAAACGAAGAAAAGAAAAGAATCAGATTTTATGGCAAAACGTACTCTCTTTATTATTTTTTTTTCGTACAATCTACAGTAAAGAATAGAAAGATAAAGTTTTACAATTGATCTTAATGTAATATATAGATAGATAGAATAATGTAAATGAAGCAGCGGATAGGAGTACATATAGATATTACGAATAGATAGTTTTTTCTTAGGTAGATCAATGCCAAAGACTATATCCATACATATGTTAAACATAAGGAAACAAAAGAACTGTTCAGTACACACACAAGAAAGAATAATAAAGAAGCGTAGCAGTTGTAATCTGAGCAATGGCATACATGCCTGCTAAAATAATGCTTATGCGTGTGTGTACATTGGCCAAGGAAAAAAAAATACTGTGTCTCTAGGTAATAAAGAAAAGAGAGAACGCACACACATATGTATTTATATACATGAAATAGGGCTAATAAACAAAAGAAAAAAAAAATCAAACGAAATCTTTTCTCTTGCCATTCGCCTAATGTTCTAGAGTAGGTGAAACTCGACTTTTTAAACACATGAAAAAGAAAAGCCAAGCAAACAGATTTGGGGTTATTTATAGGAAATAATAATAATAAAGATCGAAAGAACAGAAAAAAAAACAGAAAACAAGTCTATGTATATACTGCAAAAAAAACAGAAAAATAATTAGAACGAATATCCACGACACATGTTCTATTCCAAATCCATATTGGCCGTTTCATCTTCACTAAAATCACTCAATACTTCATCGTCCGATTCATTTTTATTTGTATGATTCGAACTATTTGAACCATTCGTTTGATTTGAATTATTATTCAATGATGATTGGCCATTTATGGATGATGATAAACTATCAGCCATATCAGCAGTAGCAAACCGTTGAACATATTCTAGAAGAAAAAAATAAAATAAAATAAACATTGTTATTATAATTATTTTTTAATAGATACAAACCTCTAACTTTTTTCTTATAATCTTCAGGTTTGTGAAGATATAGAGCAGCAGCATCACCATTTAACGGATCCACTGGATTTGGATAAGCAAGTAATTGCGGAAGAAATGATTCAAAAATATTGGCAAGATCTATAGAAGAATAATTAAATTAATAATATATATATATATATATATTTAAAGAAAATATATTCCTACATACCATACATTGGCGTCCATGTTTGATTGATTACATCAAGACAAACAGTACCGGACCTATTTATTTTGAAAATAAATTTAAATTTAAAACGAAAAAAACCTATTTTACTTACATTTCGTCGATATTTGGATGAAAGATTCGATTCATAAAGCCTATAAATTATAATTCATTATGTTTTACAATAAAAGTCATATTTATTCCTATCGTTTAAGTTTTCAAAAAGTAGAAAAACACAATCTAACTTAGATATGTTTTTTGATCTACATATTTTTGTTAAGTCTATGTACATACCAATTGATGGCGATTTAAATGGATATTTCTCGGGTAGATCAACTCGAATATTCCATACTCCACCTTCATAAGGAGCTATAGAAAATGAAAAAAAAAAATTTCAATGAAAAGAAAAGTGTTTATTAAAAAATTTACTTTCGCGTGGACCAGCAAATTTGACCATAAATTCATTAAGACCTGACATAAGTGTTACTTGATGTTTCGATTCAATACTAAAAAAAAATATTAAAAAAAAAGAAAAGAAAACATTTTTCTCAAAAAGAAAAATGTTTGGTAACTAACAACTTACAGTTTAATAACATCTGTATCTATTCGACGTTTACCTGGTGATGGTGAACACATTGTTTTAATGAATAAAATGGTAAATTAAAAATACTTTGAACTATGAATGAGTCTGAAAAAAAAGAAAATAAAAAGTAAAAGAATTTTGACGACCTTGAAAATTAATAGAATGTGAATTATATATTATCACGTCATTATTTAGCAAATGACGTCGTTCTATCTTTTTCTTTTTCCTTATACAAATTGTGTTTTATAGTACACATAATCCAATAGAGAGATCAGCTGACCATTGACGAAGAAAAAAAATTCTATCGTGAAAGGAACATAACAAAACATGTGATCATTGACGAGAATATATATATATATATATATAGACACCGTCGGCCGCCGAACGAATGACTACTGCGTAGATATTTGTTTGTGTGTTATTATGATGTTGTTGTTGTTCAAAATTAATAATAACGAAAAGATCTTAGATTAATGAATTAATATTTAAAAAAAATTGAAAAGAAAAAAAGAAAAATCATTGATAAACATTATTATTATATTTTCAAACTATCAATTTCTTGTTTTTGAGTGTCGCTTATATCAAACATTAAGCGAAGGATGTCGCACTTAGATGGGTTTTTATATAATCAGAAAAGTGAACTAGCGTCATCAAATAATCAACTCTACTAATAACGAATTGAACATTATAAAACATTTTTATAGAATAGTTTCAATCTAATTGCTATTTAAAATATATTATCATAGAAATAATAAATCTAATATAATTTAATGTAAAATATTTCACATCAACAATTACATATACTGATATGAACTAACCGATCAATTGCTCCTAGATCAGTCGGTGTTAGAATCCCGACCCAGTCGAATCGCATTTTGATATTCTAAATGAAATTTTCTAATCGGAATTGAACAGTCGTTTCGAAGATACGATATGCTCTTTTCCGATTATTTTTGTTTCTCAGACGACTAGAGCTCAATGGGTTCGGATCCGATAGCCTCTAGGTAGTGTACGTTTTTTTTTCTCGATGTAGATATAAGAATGTTTAAGTCAAAGATTGCATATATTTTTTATAGAGCAGGGTGTATATATATATATATATATGTGGAAAATAATAAACAATGAGGATATGAGCGATATTAAGAAAAAAACAGAGTGAACTTTTTCTTGAGAATCTATTTCATAAATATGAAATATCATTTATAACATTGATATCAAGAGAAGAACATCATTAGTAATGATTCAGCTATTGTCAAAAATGTGTCTTTTACGTTTGACTGACAACATTGAATAAAAACTACAAACGAAATAACATCAGTATGATAAAAATATCATGACTACAAGTTACAAATGTTCTTAATTTAGCTAATAATTAGTAATGAAAGATGATGTTTTTTTTTTCTACTAAAAAGACAAATATTTCATCTCGTCTATTGTTCGTGATTAACTAAAAACTCATCAGATTGAAATCTAAAGAGAAGATGATAGACAGACAAATATATTGTTCATTTGAACCTACCTCGCTAAAAAAGAATTGACGACCTTATAAATATGGAATGACATGTCATATGCATAAAACGTTAGGCTTTCAAATAATATTCTTTGTTTTCTTTTCATTTTGTAATTGCAAAAATCATTGAATACTCGTACTCATCATATTCGTGTCGTACAATATACTCATCATATGAATGAGAAAAAACAAAAATATTATCAATTGTTAATCAAAACGTAGAGACAGTCACCTGAAGAATATAGGTAAATAACTAATACATAATGAAGAATCGTAAATCATTAATCATATGAATATAGGTCATGTGTATCATATTGCTAAGAGGACGAGACAAATTTTTAATTTGCTTTGATCGGATTCATATTAAGTCATTTGTAACATATGAATACATACTACTGTCAAATGTTATATAAATCCTAATAATAGAAACAAAATTTAAAAATAAAGAAACAATACTAGTCAAAAACTTATTTTAATATTCTCAAGCTAAATGTAACAGAGAAATTTCATTTTATTTGAAAAAAAGAATTTTCTTTTGTGAAAGTTATCATCTGAGTATAGATTGAAGAATTTATCTTCTACTTTATACATACAAGGAAATTTTCCTAAATGTTTCCTTCCGATTTCAATGATTTTGGTGTGGGCATGACTGTGTGTGTGTAAAGAGAACCGAAGCTCACACTCATATCCTTTCAGGAGGTCAGAACTCACGGAAACAGGCCACTACTAAACTTTATCTAATATCAATAAAAAAAAAGCATTAAAATTGGAAAGGAAGTGTCTAGGAAAGTTTTTGATATCTTTACAAAGATAGCAGATACCTATGGAGAATCGACTTGAACTGTGGGTCACTTTCTTGTGCTATACATGAGACGTTTAAAAAGTTCTCGGATTGATTTTATTTCAAAACAACAAACAGCAACACTCAATGTGTATTTTTGTTAGTGTGGAGTTAATATAATTCTCCATCCATAGATATCACCAGCTCTGCTTAATTAAATATATATTTACAAATTTCTTGTTCCGGGAAGACATGCTTCATCTCTAATATTGATAATGAACGTATAATGATCGATCTTCTAGCCTTCACTATAACATCTGAATGGAATGTTTATTTTAAACATAGATGATTCTTATATATTGATAATAATTGTGATACAAATTACATCAAAATGACAAATTTTAAAAATTAGATCGTCGAATTGCAGTCGAGAAATAACAGATATTGTTTGTATTTTAAATAATAAGTTACATATAACCTAAATCAAACCATGAAAATGTTACATTCTCTAATATGATGTCAACAACGTATTGACTATATCTGGAACCATTATCAATAGTTAGGTATCGGTTTTTGAAACGATGAGTCTATTCATATACCGCAGTATTATTAACATATATTCGTAAATATTATATGGCAACTAACCTTTTAAAGCATAAAACTTTACTCAAATTTTTAATATACTATTCATGTGTGGAGAGGAGGTTCTATAATATATCTTATATTTTCATAGGTTAATTAAGCAAAACTTACAGCTGCATGAATTACACACACAAGTAATGATACTGACACAGCAGCACTTCCTGTTGTTTTCAAAATGAAATCAATCCGGGAACTATTTGAACATCTTATATATCACGTAATGTATATTCATAAAGATTTAACTACCAATGACATCAACTAAGTTGATTTCATATGACGTGATTTTAACTTAAACTCACATATATTAATGTCAACTTCATGAAAATCATTTATCATAATACAACAGCATCTAGTGTCATCTGTTAATTGTTTTTTTTCAAACTAACTCTTATCTTATTTTTTTCATAAATCTTATCTATACTATCACTGACAACAACGTATATCGATAAAACTTGATAAACGAGCCAGCTCTCAAAAAAACAAAATTCTCTCATCTAATATATGGATAAATAATGGCTGAATGATAGACGAATCCGACGCAATTGTCAGTAGATCAATCAATAATTTGTTCTGTTTCTTGTTGTTTGTTTACTTTTATTTTTTTGTCTTCTCCTTTTCTCTACATATTATATCTATCTCGATCTTTTTCTTGCTCGTCTTCTATTTGGCTAAAGCTAATTATTGTTATTTCATCTTCTCATATTCGAACTCGTCCTGTTAGAATGGATATGGAATACAATTAAATTAGCCTGATTAGCCATTTTCTTTAGTATAGGCTAGTATGTCTTTATGTCATATTCTTATTCATTATTCATTCAGGACTATAGTTAATATTGACATATCATTTTTATTATTATTTGTTCATAGTTGATGGTATTCTTGAATCTTTAGTATATATATATATATATATATATATATATATGTTTTTTTGTTTTTTATCGATAATAAGCATCTATTGATGTTGTTTCATCGATTGTTATCATGCATATAGAAACAACTACGACAATAGCTGATAATAATGAACAAGTATCAACATCTTTCACTGATTTATATAATCTTCATGAAATTATTGGAAAGTATGTGGATTATTTAATAAATGATCATTTATTATTATTTTTTTTGTTGTTGTATAGAGGACCATTCAGTGTAGTTCGTCGTTGTACAAATAAAAACGATAATAAACAATATGCTGTTAAAATTATTGATGTTGAACAATTTACATCAACACCAGGATTTTCTGCTGATGGTAAAACACATATTGTTTTTTCATGGTAATAAAAAAATTGTCTTATCTTTTACATTTAGATTTACGACGTGAAGCAACTATATGCTCAAGTCTTAAACATTCACATATTGTCGAATTATATGAAACATTTGAATCAGAAGGATGTCTTTTTATGGTTTTTGAATAGTATATATTTATCTAATTTAATTTATCTATTAGAATGATCAATTTTATTTTTAGTATGGATGGTTCTGATTTATGTTTTGAAATTGAAAAACGTGCTCTTGCTGGTTTTGTATACAGCGAGGCTGTAGCTAGGTAAATATTAGATATTATCTTTTCATTTGTAATATTTCAATGAATTTATAGTCATTATATGCGTCAAATATTTGAAGCCGTTCGTTACATTCATGATCGTGGTATAATTCATCGCGATTTAAAACCTCATTGTGTGTTATTATCATCAAAAGAAAATGCAGCACCAGTTAAATTAGGTGGTTTTGGTGTTGCATTACAATTACCAGAATCTGGTTTAATTCAAGCTAGTCGTATTGGTACTCCGGCATTTATGGCACCGGAAGTTGTTAATAAAGAATCACCAGGTTTTGGTCGTCCGGTTGATATGTGGGCATTAGGTGTTATGTTATATGTTCTTTTAACTGGTACATTACCATTTGCTGGTACAAGAAATCGAGTTTTTGATATGATTACAAAAGGTGTTTATAATGTAAGTTTTTTACTTAAGAAAAAAAAATACAAAGTTATTAATATTATAATAATTTATTAAATTTTTTAGACGAAAACTAAACAATGGGAACAAATATCTGAATCAGCTAAAGATCTTGTTACTCGATTATTATGTGTAAATCAAAATGAAAGAATAACAATTAAAGAA